ATTTTGGTGAGTACCAGCATCTTTTTTCAGACATCTTGCGATAAGTACCAGCACTTTCTCTATCAGAAAAAACACCTTCCGGACTGAATTGCCAACACAGTTTCATTTAAAACCCTAGGGGATTGAACTGTCCTTACAGTTTTATCTCTAACCCCTAGTTATGGCCCGTGGTACTCCATGGGGAGGGGTGGGGGTATTTATTCCCCTAGCCAACAAGTGTAGGCATTCTGCTGAGAAACCACCGACCCGGCTGCTAAGAGATACCAGCTAAGTGATTTTGTGTATCTGTGTAGTATTGTTTGATTTGTATCTGTTGATGAAGGCTTCATAGCCGCAACGTTCACGTTTTGTTTGTATTTGTTATATTGTAAAGCTTTTCATTTGGTTTTATATCTTTTCTATCAGAAAAAAAGCCCTTCAAACGTGTGTCTTCCACAAGCACATAAAATATTCTTTTCAAGGTAGGTTTACTAATTTTTTTAGAACCATGCCGGGGGAAAAGTGAAAAGCAAGAAAGCCAGAGCTAAACAATGATACATCATCAAGAGATGAACGAACAGAAATCTGAGAGAGTGTATTACATAGGTAAGAGACAAGAGTGTGTTGGAGGTGCATGACAGCCAATCCTCACTGTGGAGGTGGCACCTGACTGACTAACTCTCATTACTTATTAGAACATTTAGCCTGGATAGTGATCTTTTTTTTATCTATTATGCATACATTTCCACCAGATTAAACTATTCTACTCTATATTCTCTCTCTATCTCTCTCCTATATCTATTCAAAATTTTACAGAAGAATGCTTCAAATACCTTGGACAGCCAAAAAGAGCAACCAAGAGGTTTTGAAAGAGGCGGGAACCCAAAGACAACTTTTCACAGACATCAGAAGGAGACAGTCATCATTTTTCAGCCATGTTATGAAAAGAGGAAAAATGTAACATGTTGGAACCACTGAAAAGATATGTGAAAGGAGGGATAGAGTAAGACGATGAGAGCAGATTCTTGACAGTCTTGTTGCATGGCATGGAGGTGTGTCAGCACACAAACTGATACATACTGCAGGAGATCGCAGATTGTGGAGAGGCATGATCGCCCAAGCCAGCCGGCAAGGCACCTGATGATGATGATTCTATATCCTCTTTGTGTCATTGTTGCAAATAAGGCATTCACAAGTGATCTCCCCTGTTGCTGATCTACTGTTTTTCTGCCTACGTTATCCCATGTCACTTTACACTCCCTCATTCCACTTTCTATTGTAATACTCCAGGTTTGCTCAGGTTTGTCCATATCTTCTTGTCCCATCTGCCATCCACCAGATGTCTCAGTCTCTACCTAAATATCATGAAACATACTGCACATGTCCAAGCTATCTGCATATTTTTCTTTGAGAACTTTTGCCAGGAATGGACATTTTTGTTTTCTGAGATGAAACTAAAATACCTTAATTTATAGTAACTGTTCTATGATATAATCAAAGCACTGTGGAAGATTGATATTGCTACATTTGATCTGTGGAAGGTTGATACTGCTAAATCTGAAGCTATATCTGTGGAAGATTGATACTGCTACATCTGAAGCTATATTTGTGGAAGGTTGATATTGCTACATCCGAAGCTGTATATGTGGAAGATTGATATTGCTACATCTGAAGCCATTTCTGTGGAAGGTTGATTCTGCTACATCTGAAGCTATATCTCATCAGGAGTCCGAAATCAAACCCACAGTCTAAGAACTACCGCATACATAAAATAAAATCTGTACTGTCCTTGAGTGTGCATGTCAGATGGGACCGCAAACGCCTGAGCACATTCCGCAGGCCTGCCTACTAAACTTACAACTATGAAGAGAAATCTGGCCTCAAGAGCAAAGTGTCCAGAGCAAGCTACGGGGAACCCCAAAGGTCCTGCAACTAACATGCGAATTTACAGAGGTAGCCCACCTGACAATCTGACCTTAACATATGAAACCGAACGCAAAGAAGAAGGAGAAGAAGAAACCCACAGCCTTAATTTTTTAAAACTCTCATTATACAAATGTGACCTACAGCAACAATGTAAGAATCACTGAATGACTGTCCTCACTGGCATAAACAACCAGGTGCAGGTACTCTATGTGATAACCTTGACAAGCTGGGCACTCCTCTCCTTCCACAAGCTCACAGCTGCAAAATTTAGTCTACTTATTAGTGCACGGCAGACTGGTGCTACAGTGCTATATTTTCAACTTAGTATTACTAAAGTTGACAGTTGAGGTTGAGAGGATCGACTTCATTGCACCGGGTTTTATCCCATATCACTTTTTTTAAGTATCCAGAAACCATGAGTTGTTAATCCTTTGGCTTGATACTATGGATATCGCAACCCTTCGGCCTTGATTCCATGATAGAAAGCGTAAATCTGGGAGAAATGTAGCTTTTCTGCCTACTCTGCCTACTCCTGAGCTGAACCTAATAAATTAGGATGAAAGATGAATATGTAAGTTGTTTATAAGATTGTGTTGAGTGTAATGTTTTGCGCTATGCGAGCCAGGCAATCCCATTTCACTAATTTTGGATTTTTTTTTAAGGGGTCTGGGGGGGGGGGGGGGGGGGGGGTGGGGGGGGGGGGGGTTTATCTCAGAAACCTATAAGGGGAAGCTGCAGATGTAATGCTACCAATACCAGTCGTGTTCACCTCTGAGTGACGGAGAACAGCTTAAATTTTAATATCTATAAATACTAGAATCGCAAAAAGGATTGCATGGTGAATTTGAGGGCACTTTTGTGAATATTCCGGACCCCAAAAATTAGTTCAGAGACTACAGAAGATTCGCAGACAACCAAATGGAAAAGACTGCACCAGAACAAGCAATAAACCAACCAACACCCAAGTTCCAAAAAATAAATCACGCTTCAGTTATTCTCAGCTATGAACAATTACTGTACAGACAGATTTAAAGAAATGTTTAGGTCAGCAATTCTGACTTGCTGAACTACACAAACAAGTGATAAACATCTACAATAATATACAAGCTGCTGTGAATTCTTTCATTTTACCAGCTGCCATATTTTTTATCAGCAAATCTAGTATAGTGTGCCATATTTTGCATCAGCAAATCTAGCATAGTGTGCATGACCTAACATTAAATATGTCAGTTCATTTCGCCTACTCTCTGAAGCTGTCTGGCAGGTTTTCTATTCTTCTTCCGTGGGTTGCGGTTTACAGCTAGGCTGCCATATCTGTGCCTTTCAGCCCAACATATTCAATTTCGGCAGACCTTTAATAGGTCACTTTTTACAACGTGTTTGTTAAAGGAAAGAGTGGGTGCCCCCCCCCCCCCCCCCCCCCACCCCCCCCCCCCCACCCCCCCCCCCCCCCCCCCCCCCCCCCCCACAAAAGTTATTTAAAAAAAACTGAACACCCACAACGGTCCCTGTTTATTTAAAGAATTTAGATAATACCGCACGGTTATGATCATATAGAGGTTGGTACATGAACCTGACCAATACGGTTCTACTCAGCCTCATAAAAATGAGTTAGACAATTTCCAGAATTTTCTGTGAAGGAATGGTGATGATGAATGGTACTGGCCACCCTCACCTCACTGGTCATAGGTTAGAATATGTAAAGTGACTTCATACTTCTATGACAGTGGGAATTACAGACAAACTACAGACTTTTCAAAATAAATGACTAAGGAGAATCCTACAAATATTTTGGCCAAACAAGATCAGAAATGAAGAACCGAAGAGGAAAACAAAATAATCATCACTGGTAAATGTTATCAAAGGGAGAAGATGGAGATGGCTTGGACATGTTTGCAGAATATTTCATGACACATCTGCAAGGGCAGCTCTCCCATGGATGGCAGACAGAAAAAAGGAGATGTTAAACACCTATGGAAACCTGAAGACCGACAGCAGAAGGGGAAATGAAGGAATGAAAAATGACATGGGATACCATTAGCTCAAAAGCAGCAGACTGGAAGTAATGGAAATCATTCGTAAATGTTTTTTTTATCTTTCAAAAATGACATGAAGAGAGGACAGACAGACAAGACAAACAGACAAGACAGACAGACAGACAGACAGATCTACTGCGGCTATTTCCCTTATCCTATGTTCTGTGGATCAATGATGATCCGTGGAGATTCTTGGTAGATTGTGCTGCAACTATTAGAAACAAAGCTCTAGCCACACACGCATCAGATTTTCTAACTTTTAAGTGATTATAGATGTCATATAAGATTTTAAAACTGTAATTTAATAGGGTAATAAATAAATCAAGCGTCACGACAGATTGGAAACAATAATAGCAGAAGGCATGGTACCAGGAAGGTTGGGCAGGGGCCGACCAACACGAAGATTGGCACAGGATATAAGTGACTCCTTGAGTATAAAAATGCATGAGGTGGGAGAGCTGATGAGAGACGGAGTTTCTTTCAGGCAGACTGTGATGACAGCGAGGTTCTGCAAAGGACCTGCTACGTGATGATGATGATGAATAAATAAATAAAATGCTATCTACATTTGTATTTGTTTATACGACTTTCTGTCAGTCGGTGTGCAAAAAGTATTTCTCCTGTATCTCAGTCTGCAGCTGTGAAATAAGGTTGAAGAGCATTCTTAGTCTTCTTCATGGTCAAGGTTTCAACTTCACTGCAATCAAGTCACTGCATACTTGCTCTGTTCCTGTGCCAGTAAAAATCAAATGAAATTTCTTCCACTGTCCCATTTACAAATTTGGTGAACAAAAAAACTGGTCCTGGCACAATCCAGAAATAGTGCACACAGTAAAGCCAAAGCCAACAGTCGCCACAAAAATAGCAATTTGTTGTTAATGGAAGTAGTCTGTCCCAAGTTCTGGAACATGATCAAAGTGCAGAAGTGGACAAACAACCAGAACTTTCTGCCTGAGTTTACAGACGGGGAACATAAAAAAGAAGATATTCTCAATTTAGAAAAAAAAAATTTTTAAAGAAAGAAAGACAACAAACATTAAAACAAACACACTAGCTTACCATGGTAAAAATTATGTAGATGTTTTTCATCACTGATCAATATATCCAGCTGGGTCATCAATGTGTGGTCTTGCACTGACTCCCTCAACCAGGCTCTGCCCATTTCTGTGTCACCCAGCCTCCGTGCCTGGCTGAGACGATTCAGTTTGTCTACGATTGGGGCTAGACTTGGACTTAGCCACTTGAGGCCCTGTACAAACTGCCAGAAGCTGCCGTCTGACTCAGAACTTGACTGTACAAGAGGAAAGTCAGTAAAATTAAAGTATAGATTATTTTTCCACGCCTTCAGGTGTACTGGGCATATGAGGATAGACTTATATTGACAGACCAATCAGCACTTGGCCCAAAGCAGCACTTGGTAAGCGATGTGGTCAGCATCAAGCCGGCAACTTTTACTTCCCAGGACTGTACCTGGTAGCCATTTAAGGCTGAGTGTACCTGGAATCCAAGTTTTTTTTTTTTTTTTTTAAGTCTAGCTCCATCAGGTCCTAAACCCACGACCTTCTGTCCGCAGAAAGCATCTAACCGCTCCACCACAGGTGGTTGCCAGAAAAAGAAAGTCAGTTGAATAATGCAACCACAAATGATACATTACACAATTTAACAGCCTAGACTAGTGTATCTTGTCAGGTGCATTGCTACAATCAGCTGCTATAACGACCTCAAACAAGCTCCCCCTATGTGTCACAAGGTCTCCATGCCTGGCTGTGCTGACTGAGTTTAGCTAAAACTGGGGTTGGACTTCAGCTCAGACACTAGACATGCAAAGTCAGTCAGTCAATCGGTCAACCTCACTGCTCACTGAAACAATCAGTTCATGTGCTCAGCTCCCAGTACACCCCTCAGCTGTTGGTGGCTTATGATACCAGTTCTACTGTGCTTTGCTATTCTTCATTGGCTACTTGCAAAGCTCTTAGCCTACCTGGCTGACATCACAACTTTAACTTAATGCCCTAGTCTGGTCAAGGCTCACAGTCGTCACAACTTCACAATAATTTACCTGATGCAACACTGGCATAAAAGAGTAAACAACAATATTCTGAACAGGCAATGCCATATCCCGTATGAGGCAATAGAAAACAAACGAATGCAAGCAGGCAAGAAACTGGCAAACACACATACAGATTGATTAATTTCAATACTTAATGAACTGTAAATCTCTAATAATTAAATATTTGTTGAAACATATTTTGCCCTCACTTCTCCCAATATTAACCTGTGATTTCTTTATTCCATGGTACAAAATGGCTTCTGTATCCAGACAAACACGCCGTAGGCCACCATAAGTGCCCCAGACTCCCTGAGCTGTGTGGGACGCAAGTAATCCCTCAGTGGTTCTCTTAAGCTTGATGAGAAGCTCATAATATCTGAGTAAAATAAAAGAAGCATATTTTTCAGATGCTTAAACAATAAGCAACCTCATAGGAAAAGAATCTTTACCTTCTGAACTGTCAACACAGTTTAGTCTAAAATCCTAGAGCTACAGATCTTGGCATTCTCTGGCTGCACGTGTCTTTCCACTCCACTGGCAAGACATCAACGTGGCTGCTTCAGGATATGTCAGGTGATTTTGTGTATTCGTGCCCTTTTGTTTGATTTATGTACATGATAATGAAGACTCTACAGCTGCAATGTTCAGTTTTCGTTTGTGTTTGTTATACTGTGAAACTCGCTGATCTACTTTTTTTTTTCACTTTTATATCCTGCCATGATAAACTCTGACAGAAGGTCCTGATTGTTCATCCACGACAAGTCTGTCCTTTGGAAACAAGCAACGGAGTCAGCAGTGAAACAAGATTATTATGGCCTGGAGAGAATGAGGCGCCTGGGTGTAACCAAGGGTCTGGCTGGCTCACTACATTCAGGGGAAAGGCAAGATGGACATATAACCAGATTACGAGCGGTACCATTTGGATTTGAACTCTGCGCTGGCTGCTGAAGATAAAGACGGAGCACAAAAGGGAAGGATCCGAGTGCTGTGATGTCAGTTCTTGTCTCAATTCAACTCAACTCATGACAAGTCTGGTTCCAGGACTTGAGTGTAAATTCATTTTATAGATCTGATTTACGTGTGGGTTCCTAGTCTCTCAGGCAGATGCACTCTGACCTCACAGAAAATGACAATCATATCACTGACGTCCATCCCCGTGTGGGGTCCAGGGTCCTACTGTGTGAACAACAAGAACTTACCCACTGCCTCCCCAAAAAGCATATCGTAAAAGTTGACTGAGGGTTTTCCTCTAAGTATGAGTGCATCTGCCTTAGAGGCGAGGAACCAGCAGACTGCATACAGACAAGTCAGATCTGTAAAAACAGATGTGCACTCAACACTCAGGTTCTGGAACAAGTGTAAAGTCCAGAGGTGGATGAACAATGAGAACTTTTCGCCAGAGTTTACAGCCCGTGAACACGAAGAAGAAAAAGAAGAAGTTGGGAATCTGTTTCTAGGATGACTGCGGAGAGATGTAGATAGGTTCTGACCAGTAGGAGCTAGGTTCTTGGTGCATCACATGTGGTTGAGCTCCTCTGCATCCAGGAGGGAAAAAAAAAAACAAGCACAGATGACATACAAGTTTGAAATAAAGAAAATAGTGATGTTTAAGATCAAAGTCTATTTGGGCAGTAATGTAGATATAGATGGGAGACTGATAGAGATATCAAAATATGTATACAAAAGGCAAGAGCAGCTTTTATAGCACTAGGAAATTTGTGAAGGTCAAAAGAAGTTAAAATTATTATTAAACTAAAAATGTTCAATCAGTACTGTTAAATGGAGTAGAAACATGGAGAACAACTAAGGCAATTATTAATAAACTACAAACATTCATTAACTCGTGCCTGTGCAGAATAGATGGAATTAAATGGTATGATAGAAACACTAATGTAGAGCTGCACGCGAAAGCAAAGAACAGAACAACTTGGTGTGAGTTAGAGTTCCACGCGTTTATATGTGAAAATTCAGAGATGAAGCGGATGTACTGATCTACACAGATGGGTCCGTTGTTCAAGGACAAAAAAGTGCATTGGCATTTACTGCGTGCTCTGCAGGCAGAACAGACCAGGAGGCCAGTTGTGCTTTCTGTATAGCATCATGACAATGGAGGTTATGGAGGTAACACAAGCTTTTATTTATCTAGAATCACAGGGCTATTCTCACAAGTGTGTGCTGAGTGATTCTGTGAACGGGCTTTGTACACACAGTGGATCGAGTCTTTGCAAAACTCTACCGTGCCTGGAGTTACCTTCATCTTTGTCCCAGGGAATGCAGGTGTTGTTGGCAATGAAAGAGCCGACAGATTAGCCAGCTCTGCCTTAGCTACAGAGGACCGGCCCAATGATCATGCTGATATTGTTGACGCCATTAGAGAGGTAAGGCTTGGAGGATTTTGAGAGCAGCATATCCACATCTTTGCTAAGAGTGCAAGAATTGGGAGTAAAGATCTGCACAGCCAGGTATGAGAAGTACACTGGACGCACGAGAAGTCTTGTCAACCAAAACAGGACTGGAACTATCAAACGCGGGACGCTGATAAATATGTTGAAGGGGGAGTGTGAGCACCTATGGACTTGTCCGGAGTGTCGTGAAGAAAACCCACGTCATAACTCATTCCCATAAATAAACAGAGGGGGGGGGGGGGGGGGGGGGAAGGGGGGGGGGGGGGGGGGGGGGGGGGTGAGGCCGTTAAATATTATGAATTAATCAAGTAACAGAAAGTGTATTATTGGTATTGGTATTCATAGAAAAAATTAGTATTTGATTGGGTCTGCTGTCTGTCTCCACTGATAGTATCAATTCTGATTCTGCATGAGTCCTTCTGAGGGCTCTTGGTGGCCGTTAAGTGCCATATACATATGAAAATATAAATCCACACATACATATATTTATATATCATAGTAGTACTTGAT